CAGCAGGCTGACAGATGTGATCCATACGACCATCATAATAACACTACTACTAATACAATATCTATTATTATAATGAAAACAACACAAGTGGTCTATAACGGCAGAAACATATAAATATATATCAAATAAAGGTGTATGACTTGCACATTGAGTGTTACAGAGTAGATATAAACCAAACAAAAGTCATTAAGGAGCTGATTTATGAGCTGTAAACTGTAAACCCATCATGTCGTAACTTGTTATTCCCTCGCCTGGACTCGGTGCCAACGTGTGACTCCGCCGGAATTTTCAGTTTGTGCCGGTATGCAAATAGGCTCTCCAAAAAGTACGACCCAAAGCAGCAACAACGCCCCAAAACAAACAACACAAAGGCTCACGTTCAGACGACTAACCAACACGTCATTCGGGAAAAGCTGTAAATTTGAATGGATCAGATTATCTAAGAGACCTTCCATGAAGCTGGATTCCCGACTACAAACCAGGCAGACAGCCAGTGATTCCACCTGCTACACCTGACACGCTTCACCCGGCCCGTCTGCTGTACCAAATCTTTGTGGGTTTTTCATCAGATCACTCGGTGGCTCCCTGCACATGTTCAGACACGACTTCGTTTCTTCTGGGAATCTGATCGGGCTGCATGTGTCGTCTTACTGTTGTTGCTGTGGTTGTCATCATCGGGGAGTTTATTCTGCCAGGTGGGTTCATTTGGAAACCCCTTGGAAAACCTGACATTGTTGTGGATTCTGAAGTAAAACAGGTGGAATACCTTCCAGAGAAATGGATCTTGCATAAACAAAACCCACATGCATGTGACCTTTAAAAATGCAGAGCGTGTTTTATCACACAGGTGCAACCAGGAAGTAAAACATATAAAGATATGCAGTGAGGTGGAACTGTGGGTTTAGTTGTACAATATTTATTTCCAGAATCAATTAATATGGAATTAATATTAGAAATGGAATAAAGACATAATTGTGTTCACAGTTGTTCCGTAAACACTGTACACTCATTTAAATAGAGTTAAAACCAGAAACATTAAATCAGACGAAGCTTTTCCTGTTTTAGGTCATGTATGTATGTAATAAAAAATAAAATAATATCTCTCATTATTCTGGCGTTTAGCAAATAGAAATCATTTTGGTAATCCTAACTGATCTGAAAGAGGAAAAGCTTAGTCTGATTTAATGTCAGAAAAAAACAGTTATTAGTCTTTTTATTGTGGATGTAAACTTCCGGTTTACTGAGTGTCTGTTCCATTATTTGTTTTTTATTTATTAAGATATTTTTCGGGCCTTTTCTGCCTTTAATGTATAGAACAGCGAAGGAGTGACAGAGAAACATGGGGACATGCAGCAAATGAACCGCTGGCTGGAATCAAACCGCAGCCGCTGCATCGGGAACTACAAGGCCAGTATAAGGGTCACCTCCCCAACCTGTTGAGCTACCAGGCCACTCACTCCGTCATTTATTTACATGAAGGTGTTTTGTCTATTTTTGGAAAGTCTGATGTTATCTGTGGAGGAACAAGACAGACGACCAGGAGTCCCCGCTGCTGATCTAAGGCATTAATGGAAAACAATATCTTAGCTTGATATCAATCACTGGAGCATGAAGCGTGACTTGCATTTCTACTTTGAGTTTGGCAGCTGATCGCCTCACGTTGTATAACTTCTGCCTCATAGCTCTCCCTCTCTGCAGGTATTTCCTGCTCTTCAGCTGCACAGATCTGATGTGCAGATACCTGACCCACTAATACGTCCAGTGTTGATGTTCTTTTGTTTGCTTCGCCTCCACAGATGACCTCCCTCCTGGTTCCTTTCCTGAGCCTGGTTCTGCTGGAGGACTTTTTCTGGTACAACTGTTGCTGCTGATAAGGAAAACAAGCATTTGTTGGGGTTTCCATGTGTAGTTTTGTAGGTTTTAACTTAATTAACTTGAAATTAGTTGACCTAAGTTGTGTTATGTATGATACTGTAGGACTGAAGTGTGGCATTGGTTAGCATCGTTGCCTCGCAGTTAGAAGGTCCCTGGTTCGCGTCCTGGTGAGGACACCCAGGATCTTCTTGCGTGGACTTTGCATGTTCTCCCCGTGCAGCAGATCTGTAGGGAACATTTATTACAGAAACTTGTTATGAGGGGATTCCTGACTCAGATCATAACTGACCCAAATCATACTGAGAAGTCTTAGAATATGATCATTTGGCAACTCCTAACTTCCATCTTTCTTCTGTGCCATAAAGATCTGATTAGATTAAATGTGACTGAGAGTGTTCCAGGGCTGGTAGAAGATCCCCGGTTCACGTCCCAGTTAGGATGCCGTTCTGCGTGGAGTTTGCATGTTCTGCCCGTGCAGCGTGGGTTCTCTCTGGGTTCTCCGGCTTCCTCCCAAAAACATGTTGAGGTTAATTGGTGATTCTAAATTGTCCGTAGGTGTGAATGTGAGTGTGCTTGGTTGTCTGTCTCTAAGTGTAGCCCTGTGATAGACTGGTGACCTGTCCAGGTGAACCTGCCTTCACCCTGAGTCAGCTGGGATAGACTCCAGCCCCCCATGACCCTAGTGAGGATTAAGCGGAGTATAGATGATGGATGGGATGGATGCTACTGTGAGGTCTTAACGGAAATAATTAAAACCCTCTGGTGAATTTATCTTATAAATAAGGCTGTGGGGTCTTAATTCGAACATTTAAGCACGTTAGATAAATTTGCAATACTTTATGTGATTGGACTGAAAAAGCAACACAGCAAACAACATTTTGCTGCTAAACTTTCGTCACTAATACTAAATGCTATATAAATCCTACACGTATCAGCCCACTATATGTTTATGTCTTGAGTTGTTTGGCAGAAAGAGGTTTTTGTACAAGAAGTGAAACCAGTTAAAGTCATTATTTTAATAAGAAATATTACTACTGCTAAGAAGAAGAAGAAGAAGAAGAAGAAGAAGAAGAAGAAGAAGAAGAAGAAGAGGAAGAGAAAGAAGAAGCAGAAGAAGACTGATTATTATTTGTATTGTCATTTGAAAACGTGCAGCTCAGGTCTTACGCACATACAAAAATGCCCGAGTTTGTGTTAATTTCCAGAGCAGAAATCTGATCGTGGGAGCTTCACAACTGATCTGATGGTTTCATTATAACTGTGGCATCAAATCTAAATCTAAAAATCAGGCTATGGGCAAACCTCACTGTGAAAAATACAGATCAAAATGAACCCGGAAAGTTTGATGCATCTAAGTGCTGCTGAATTGGAAATTTCTGTCTCAGACCGCGAGAATTGTTTTGTAGTTGTTAAGAAAATGAGAAAATTCCCTTCAAAGACATATATTATGATTAAAACCTACAGACACGAAGAGAAAGAATGTTTAATAAGAGGAGGTTGATACACACACACACACACACATTACACATATATATATATATATATACATATATATAACAGAACAAAAACAAGATGGCTAACTTGTTCTAACCGTTACAGCTCCATCCTGCAGGTCCAGGTGGGCCAGAGACCAACAAAACATAAGCTTAGAGTAACAGTTCTGGAAAGTTGTTCCACAGAAAGTCCCAGAAAACACAGATTGTGTAAAAAGGGCCACAGGGAGACGCAGTCATCATTTACATGTTACTGCCTTATGTTGGTCAACAAACATCCTGTGGGCCGGCGCGCTCTGCAGACGGTGAGCAGCCTCCCATCGTGCTCAAGTGCCTCGCTTGGGCTTTGTTGTGTTTGCTGTGGTTTGGGCGTATTTGTTTGTTTGTTGTTTTGAGTACTGTACTCCAAACTATGTATATATATATATGTATCGATACAGTCGTCCTCAAATGTATTCATCCCCTTCCATTAAAGAAAAGGTGAAATTCACAAGAGTGACTCAAATAACTAGAAACTGAAAAAAGTAATAATAAATAAAAATTTTCCAAATTATAATTTAGTGAAATAAGATGTTGCTTTGAATTGTGGTTGAAAAGAATAATTTAAAAAAACAAAACTGTCCCGGACAAATTAGAGCACTTTGCTGATGAGCAGTGAAATCTAAATACCTGTCAACAGGTGCAGAAGTCTGA